CCTCTAATGCAGCTTTCTCCTTTATTATAGCATTTCTGCGCCTTCCTCCTCTACTGCAGCTTCCTCCTCTACTGCACCTCTATTGTAGCTTCCTCCACTACAGCATTGCTATAGCTTTCTCTATTGTTGTAACTTTCTCCTTTACTGTAGCCGTCGTCATCACCGTCGTAGCCGCAGCAACAGCAGCAGCGATATGCTCTTGCCCTACTCACGAAGCCTCTCGCTCGTAAACTGTTTGCTTTGTATCGATCCAAAATTGGTATCCTTGACAGGAGCACTATCTTGCGGGGGCATGATAGCAGATAAGATTTCTCCAACTATATGAGGAAATCTCTCTACTCTGTTGAGGAAAATCCTTGAAATCCTTTATTCTGTTGAGGGATATCCTCCCTCCTAATCTATGCAATGCTCCATCGTACACAATCCATATGTGCTAAATATTTATTCCCCCTTTTAACTATCAAATATAACTTTCTCTCCCCTTTTGAATTTTTTTTTATACAACTACTAATAACTTTAAAATAGGATTTAGAAAATAAATCGACAATGTTGAGGAAACTTCCATCCCATTTAGATCCTTAGATATCTAATATTCCTATGACCTGAATGGGCTGATCTAATTGCTCATAATGGTTAGAAAACCTCTCATCCACTATGGATTCCACCCTTTCCTTACCAAAAAGAATTCTATAAATCTATCTAGCTGCTAGCCCCAGTAAGAATAAGTGAGTTTGGTTCTTTAGTTCAAATTAGATTTCTTCTTAAACAATGCTTTTCATTTATTGAGAAAAGAGAACATTAAAGAAGAGCTTATTTGGCTTGGTTGGAAGGTGATACAAGATTTGAAAGTTTATTTTAAAATCAAAAAATTTCTTTGAAAACTTATTTGAAACAAACTTTCCACTTAGGATCTATCAAAATTGTTTTATTCACAAATTGACTTTTGATATTGGCAAGCATTACACAGTTTTCACATAGCACATTTTCTTTGAATATGAATTAGCTCTTGGACTTTGGAACACTATTAAGTATCATCTCAAAGTTGATTTTCTAAACTTTGACAGCTGATATCCTAAATCTTGACGTTTTGAATCATCCTCATTTGCTTCTATTGACTCCTCACTTCTTAGAGACATCATTGCAATTACCTTATGACACCTTTGATTAAACTAAAATAATTCATGTTTTTGTAATCATCAAGCTAAGAAGGCTCCTACCCTTTGGAAAAAGGTGATATCATCCATTGATGATCCTATTTGCTTTGATACGAAATCTAAGAGGGTCTTCTTCCCATCCCACAACTTCACTCTATAAACCCTTCAACCACTAATCAATATATTAACTTTTCTTTTCCATATATGAAATTGCTATATCCTTTTCCCATCATAGGCTGATGAAGGCTATGCTATGCTCAAAGTCTTACGGAAAGCCCTTGAACTTGAGTTTTAATGAGTTTTTCTTCACACATACTCCCAAATTCATGTTGATTTTGTCAATAAAATTAATCAGGTACCTTAGCACCTCTATTTTTTATTCCTAGATATTTTTAGTTTATTCGGATCAGTTAATATAATCAAGATTGTCCATATTTTAAGAATCATAAATAGGAAAGCCCATCTTCTAACCACTAATAGTCTAAGCTTTGATAATAGTCATTTTCAGGATAATGAATCCTCCCAATCTACTCTATTTATACTTAACTCTTTTGATTAAGAAGTACAATCGATCGTTAAAAAATATATATATATTTAAGAAACTTAGCTTTGAATCCTTCAAAATTTGTCGTATTTGAACATAACTCTTTTATCAAAGAAGTACGATTAATCTTTATAAAAACATTTAAGAAACTTCGCTCTTTGATCTTTCCTTGGCAATCCTTCAACGGTTGCACAAGTTGCATGCGTACAGGCATAGACTATAACTCTCATTATTGATCTTATTAAAATATGAATCCAAGCTAAATGTGCTCCTTATAAAAACGATTGTATACTCATGCTTTGTCTATATCCGCTGCTTAGTTAGGAATCTAGCCTTAAAAATAAAGCCACCATGTCCTTTCCCATCAAATACATAGAACTTGGGTGTGTTTCTTTTCTAAAATAAACTTGGATAAATATGAAAGGACAATCTAGTGGGTGCATGTTGAATTATTTGGCACTACACATGCAGAACATAGTTGGATCAATTGTCTTAAAAAACCTAGGTTTATACATGAAGATAAGGTTTGATGTAGCGTAAGACTATGGGCTTGGAAATTTGTTAGTCAGATGTCTTTTCATGATCCTGTCTAATATATTTGAGGAGGACTAACTAGAGTATGCCATTGATGGCACCAAACTAGATGCTGAAAGCTACAAGATATTATATTTTTTTTAGGGCCATCGAAAGAGATACATATGGTTTAGAAATGTTCCAAATTGCTATAACTCTTTTGAGTTTTAGTTGAATTCTTTTTCCAACATGTTTGCTCTTAGTCTCTTTTTTTTTTTTCTTGTGTTCTAACTACCAACAAACACTTCATATATGTATTGTGTATGGCTACAGTACACTAAGAAGTATTTGTACTTTCTGTTGAGTATATGGATCAAATAAGAAAAGAGGAGAGAGAAAGTTGATGTAAATAACATAAAAAAGTAAAGTAATAAATCTAAAAATAATTGACTAATGTTCCTGAAGAGTCTAAATATTTACAATTCAAAATATATTAGACTTTGAATCATTTTCAAATTTTCTAATTCTAATGAAATGTAAACTTCTTATCTAAATTATAATAACATTATCTTTAACCCTTTCAGACTTCAACATCAAAATGAATGCCCAATCATGTGGATGAAATCTATTTATTGAAATGCTTAAGCAGATGAACTGATCAGAAAAGCCTATCATCATCACCAGAGAGAGAGAAACTTGGACATAAATTGTTAGTGTTTAGATGCTAATGAACCACACAAAAAATAGCATATGTATTACTTTGTTGACACTACTCTTCGTATGCATTGTGCAAAACATAATGTCTACATTACAGAACAACATGTTGCAGTAAAGCATACGTTAGGGGTATAGTACACAACACACTGTGATGGCTAGGATAAGGAGACTGGTGGCCAAGTGTAGCTAGTCCAACTAGTATTTGTGAGATTTATAAGTTCTTTTTCCCATCAAAATCTATTGATGTACTTTTCCTTGGATTAACTTCATGCCTTTCTTCACTTTGTCATGGAGAGGTCACCATCTTCATTTGTGATATTGAACGGGTGGAGAAATTATAGTCTTTCTTCACTGTTAATGATGTGGAAGAGACAGATTTAGTGGAAAAAAGAGCATTAATATCTTCCAGAATCAGCAAAGACAAGCCCCCCCCCCTCTCTCTCTCTCTCTCTCTCTCTCTCTCTCTCTCTGATTCCTTCCTACTGCATGAGAATCCACGCCAAGGATTCATCGCCAAACCGCAACCTAGTTGCTCTGTTCGTCAGTTATCATCAAGGTTAATAGAAGGCAGCAAGCAATTACCAGGACAATTCACTGGAAGCTTATCAAGGTTAATATGAGAATCCCAGTGCAAGACGATGGTACAAGTCAAGGGATTAACAGGCTTTACTATGAGACTCATTTATGTAGATGAAGCAATTAGGATTGGGTGGTCAAGAGTGCAATATATTGATGCAATCCAAAGCTTAGTGGATTAATGTCATGATACAATAATCAAATAATTAGTCAGGTAAATACTATGCCCAAAATTTTAAGCTTTCATTGAAGTGTTTAATGTTGCATATAATCTCTATAAGTCGCTATAAACATGAACTTACAAGTGAAACCTAAACACAATAAGTGGAACTAACTATGTCTATTTTCTAGCATCATGTATGCTATTAAGTGTTTTACATCATCTTTGGCAAGTCTTTGTTTGCACAATCCTCGGACGTAAACTCGCATGAAGGCAGTGACAACTTTGTGTAGCACATGCTATTTACCTGCATTTTTGTTCTAAGCAGAAGAAATAGAGGGAAGAGGGGAGAGAGAGAGAGAGAGAGCCACAACAAGGTAGCTTAGATCAGATGTAGGGTCTCCCAAAGAACAGGTCTAGTTTCATTGTAGTTGGTGATGGTAAAGTCCGATTAATCTGATCTGACACCGAAGAAATGACTGAGTTTATTCTTTGATTTGTTTAGAAATTCAGTAACAATGAGTGATGTAAATTACATCATTTCAAAACTTTAAACTTGGTTATATATCATCTAACTCTTTTGATATTCATTAATATGATATTATTCCTTTAGTTCTCTTTTTCAATCTCTCTTCACATAAGAATATTTTGTAACATTCTTTTTCTATTCATGTATGACGTAATTCTCTCTCCCTTGTAAGAGTAAGTGGTGTAACCAACTTTGTCTACAACCATAGTTTGGTCATTGATATAATTAACTTTTATCCGATAGAGTCGTCAGATGATATATATCTGAGTCTATTCTATAAACTATCAACTTAAGTTTTTAAATTGGATTAATGTTTGATTCAATATACATTAATCCTAACTAATTTGACTCACTCTTCGTTATGATATTTTCATCATCTATTATAAGAGCCTTGTAAACAAAAAGAGTGGGTCAAAAACAACAAGAAGAAAAAAAGAAAGAGATTTAATCATAGTCAAGTTTATGGTACAAAAAAAAAGTTAGTCATACTAAGCAGTTAAGCTTATAGGACGGATAAAATTAATCGCACCATTGATCAAGCTATAGTTGCGGGCAAAATTGATTACATCACTTATAAGTAAGGAGGAGACAATTAAATCACATATGAATAGGGAAAGAATGCTAGAAGATATTCATGAAATTAAAAAAGAGGACTAAGAGAATAATATCATATTAGTAAATATCAAGATAGTCGAATAATATATATCTAACTCATAAACTATCATATTAAATTTTTAGCTTAAATTATTATTAATTCTGATTAGTTTGACTCACTCATTATAAATCAATGTCCTCTATATCGTTCATCTTCTCTCTCCTCTCGTCCATTCCAAACCCGGACTAGGCTGCCTCAAATCTCCGGTGGCAAAAGGGTGGGAGTGGAGGAGATCCACAAAGAGCACAATCTGAGATATGGGAAGGGCTCCGTGTTGTGACAAGGCAAAGGTCAAGAAAGGCACTTGGTCTCCTGAGGAAGACAAACAGCTGAAGGAATACATAGAGAGGCATGGAACAGGTCGAAATTGGATTGCTCTCCCCCAGAAAGCTGGTAACGCAAGGAGTCTTATGGTTTTTATTTGTGTATTTACCTTCTGCTCGTTTATTTCTGCTTCCTTTTTGAAGTGATATGGTGTTCTAGGATGTCATATGAGGTAGAGAGAAGGATTCTTCGATGGCTGTTGCATGGATATTGAGGATTTGTTTGGACTGTGAACAGGTCTGAGGAGGTGTGGAAAGAGTTGCAGGCTGAGATGGCTCAACTACTTGAGGCCTAACATAAAGCATGGGGACTTCTCTGATGAAGAAGATAGGATCATTTGCAGCCTGTTTGTTAGCATTGGAAGCAGGTGATTTGATTGCATTCCTATATCCCTGCACATATTTCATACCCATTTCATCCTTTTAGCTTATATCTACATTGGGTTTGATACGCATATATAGTCCATCCTCTCTCTCTCTCTCTCTCTCTCTCTCTCTCTCTCTCTCTCTCTCTCTCTGTGCATGAAGGAGAAGTATCTTCTGCATTATGCTTCTCAAATGCCAAATTAATTTGCAAGTGCAGATGGTCAATCATAGCAGGCCAGCTTCCAGGGAGGACTGACAATGACATCAAGAACTACTGGAACACCAAACTGAAGAAAAAGCTCTTTGACCAACCGCCATCCCACAGAAATCCTCATCATCAGCAGCACTACCGGACGCAGTCCTTCTCATCGAACCTTGAGATGGCTGTTCCATTCCCAGACCTGGAAGGCATTCCTATCCATCCGAGTCTCTTCGATTCTCTTACACCAACCTTCTTTTCCCCTCTTTGCCAACGCCCAGCGTATCAAAGTGGCAATCTCATTATGTTTGGAGGTGACCAACCGAGCTGCAGCTCATCTGATGGCAGCAGCATCCACACCGGCTATGGAAGCGAGCATATGAGCTCTGAGAACCATCTCCATGAGAAGCTGCTACCTTGTGGTGAGGCGTCACTGAGATACGAGTTTGATGAGCCTAGCCAATTGCATGCTTGTCCGGTTGATGCCTTCGACAAACTCTACCTTGATAGCAAAAGCAGTGCAACCATGGACATGAGCTTGAGGAACATGGCAAGGGCCATCTATCACTGCTGATTAATTGTATAACGACAAGAAATACTTTCTTTTTTCCTTGTCTTTGGGGGATGACATGGTGTAATAACGACGTGCAAGACTTAAGAACCAGTGTTGGATGTTCTTTGGGTTGCGTCCCTCCTGATATATGATGCTTGTTGTATTGGAGTCTGGTCCTACATGGCTGCTCATTCACAGCCAAACTGCCTTCTGTGTTCAGTGAGTTGCAGTTTCCTAAATACATCAATGAGAGTCCTATAATAATAAGAAACATCGTCTCTCATTGCTTAGTCTTAATTTCTCTTTTTCTTAAAAAAATATTTTTTATTTATCATAATCCCTAAAATATTTTTTGGGGATTCTTAAAAAAAATAATCTCTTTTTCTTCTCGAAAAATATTTTTTATTTATCATAATCTCTAAAATACCTCTTGATATAACAATTGAAGAAGAACCATGGACCAGTCTATATGATGAATCATGTAAAGATTTATACTGTTGGTTATAATATTTTTGAATAAATTTCCTACCTTTTGAGATTTTTTTTGTTGAGTTCATCAAGCTTACTAAGGGATAATTATAGATTATTTCTTATATTTAATTATAATTAATATTATATTTTTTTTATATTTTAAAAATAATATTAAAATCTTTAAAGTGAAACATTTAAACTTAATTCTTTTTACGTCATTTAAGAACACGAATAAGTAATTTTATTATTTTTAAAATTATTAAATTTATATCAACTTATCGCCCTAAGCGATTTCCACTTCCTCTCCTCTTTCCAACGCCCGCAGCACCCGCTCGACCGCCGCAACCTGCTTGCCCGTCGTTGTTGGCGAGGGTTAGGTAGGCGGCGGTGGTGCTGCCGAGGTTGGGCGGGATGTTCTGGGTGAACCCATGTGCGGATGAGGAAGACGACGGATGGGACGGGGCCGGCGTAGCCGTTGTAGCGGAGGTCGAGGAAGGCGAGGTCGACGAGTGGAAGCATGCTGGCGGGGAAGCCGCCGGAGAGGCAGTTGTTGCTAAGGTTGAGCTCGTAGAAGAAGGGAAGGTTGGCGAGGGCGGGAACGGTGCCGCCGAAGCTGTTGGAGTTGGCGTGGAAGAGCGCAAGGTCGGGAAGCTGGTCGACGAAGCCGCAGACGGTAGGGGCGGAGAGGGTGAAGCCGTTGAAGTTGACGGAGGCGATGGTGCGCATGTTGTTAAGCCCCGGCGGGGTCTCGCAGTAGAAGCCTTGGTAGCCGCGGCCGTCGTTGTTGCAGATGTGGAACCCCATCCAGGAGCCGGTCTTGTTCTTGGGGTCGCAGGTGATGGTCTGCTTGAAGCGCTGGATGACGAAGAACCCGCGGTGCTGCAGGATGTTCTCGAAGTCGCTCGGCTGCGGCTGCCGTCGAGGAGGAGGAGGAGGACACTCGGGCTGAGGTGTCGAAGGTGCAGCGCCACCACCGACGCCGACGCCGATGCCGATCTCAAGGGCTTCTCTGTCACTGCCACTGCTGCTGCTGAGGGTGGGAACGAGCAGTATAGAGACGAAGACTAATTGCATGAACCAGAAGCTGCGTCCACAGCCCATGTCTTTCTTCTCTGTCTCACAAGTAATTGCGTAATTGCTTCTAAAATGCTTAACCAACCTCCCGCCAGAAGCTCAACCATCAGCCAACATCCATGGAAGGGCTTCCTTTCTCTTCTCCTTCTCTCTCTCCCTTCTTCGTTTCCCTTTCCTCTACTACTTTCACTATTGTGCTATAGCAGCCAATCGAAACCCAAAGTAACATTTGGTAGACATGGAGACGGAGATGAAACAGCTTACGTCCAAGTCCTCTCGAAGCCACAGCACCCTCGACGCCCGCCACGACTGCCACCATCACACCAGCCTCTCGGAGCCGCTCCCACTCGTCGACCTCGCCTTCCTCGACCTCTACTACAACGGCTACGCCGGCCCCGTCCCACCCGTCGTCTTTCTCATCCGCACCGAGGTACTGTTCCTCAACAGTAACGGGTTCACCCAGAACATCCCGCCCAGCCTCGGCAGCATTTACATATATATTTACAACATACAGAATTATCGTGTTATTGGCATTTATAACGCATTAGTCCTCCTCAAAAGCAAACTGTTTTCTAGAAATCAAAAAGCAAACTCAAGAAGCTCATTATTTCTTACAGTTAACTTAACACTAACAACTTAGGACTAAAGAATGTTTAAACTCAAGCTTAGGACTAAATTTGAGGGTTACATATGAACTAAGAAAATAATTTTAAAATTTTAACCCTAAAGTTCAGTCTATCTTGGAATAGATAAGGTATAGGATGGAAACTAGTAAAATTTATTTTATTTAGTGTCTAAGTTGATTATTCAAAAATATTTATCATATTTAACTAGGATAATTTATCAAAAAATATTTTTATTATTCATTTTTTACTGGATGACATCCCCTAATTTATTTTTACTTGAATGTGCCTATATATTTTTTTTTCTATTTGGATAAAAATCCCCTCACTTTTTATGTCAAATGATATTAAAAACACAAGAATAACTAACTCATAGTCTCTTTTTTATTTTTTGTTGAACCAGTCCGATCTAGTTCGAGTCAAAATTTCTCTTCCTTTTTCGCCTCCTCCTTCTCCTACTTCAACTCATCCCCTTCCTCCTCCTCCTCCTGCCCTTCGTTGCCTTCTCCCCCAACCTCCTCCTCTGCCTCCCTTGACTTCTTTCTCTCCTCCTTTTCCTACTCCACCTTCTCCTCATCCTTCACCTCTCCTCCATTGTCTTCTCCTCCACATTTTCCTCATCATTCGCCTATGCCTCCTTCTCCTCCTCCTCCTCCTCATCCTCCCCCTTCCTTTTCTTCCTTCGTTTGATCCTATTCCTCCTCCTCCTCCACCGCCTCCTCCACTACATTGCTGATACATTTGCGGGCATCATCATGGTGTCGCTAAACTGTTGGAGGAAGGCATTACTGCCGCATTACTTAAGCCTTGGTAGAGTCGATGAAGCCTCGACTGTAATGGTAAATCCTTCTTTGTATTCATGACGTGCAAGGCTGCAACACTATATCATTTACTGTTGCATTTGTGAAGCTTTCAGCATTGCATTGTTGAAGTGTTCATGGGTGTCGCTGCTGTTAGAGGAAGATGTCACCACAACATCGCAGAAGCCTTACATCATCATTGTAACCTCAGTTGTATTGGTGAATCCTTCGCTACATCATCGAATTATTCTAAGTTTGAGGTGTTATTTAAGTTTTTTAACCAAATTGATGCATTGTTCTTGTATTCATTAAAAGTTTAAGAATTAGTTTTACAAAACTTAATTTTTTTAGATAAGAATTAAGTAATTTTGCAAAAGAAGACAAATATTTGAAAACTTTTAAAGTCTATCAAGATACAATAATAGCAAGATCCCTACAAGATATAGGAGATATCAATAACTAAGTCACAATCAACATTCATGCAAGTTTTCAACAATTGTATAAATCAATATTATCAATTGTAAAATAATGTTGTATCTTAAATCTTTTTGTATAGCTTAATTTTGATGACAGTTTTTTTTTTTTTTATCTATATTGACTATAAGAGTTTTTTTTATATAGTATATATACCAATAGAAGTTTTCAGTAAATATGCGATAATATTATAAATTAATATGAAGTTATCATTGTGCAATTAATCTTACAATCTTTATTATAATTATGCTTTACTTGAGTTGTGAAAGTAGAGTTTAGTTGAGTTAGAATCGTATTTTAGTTGAGGTACCATTGTGGTATAATCCTATAATCCTTGCCAAATTTCATTGATCATCCTAAAATTCCAAAAAAATAATAAAAAAAAGTAATACTAATCATCTCAAAATCATGTCCTAATAGTTCTATGAAAGTTTTAATAGGTTTCATTGAAATTTACCAAATTACACTATTTTAAAACTAAGTTACACTCGATCACAACATCAAAAAAAATCTCAATTTCAATAATTAGTCATCCTAAAATGATCAAAAAATATAAAAATTATAGTAATCATCTTACCAATATGTCTTGGTAATTCTGTGAAATTTTGGATTGATTGATTTCATGGAAATTTACTGAGTTACACATTTTGAACTAAGTTACACTTGATTAGATACCTATCCAAAAAATTTTAATCATCCTAAAATTATAAAAAAATCCTTCTAATAATCTTAATAACTGTAAAAGTTTTTTAGATAGGTTTCAAAAAAAATCACCAAGTTACACTTACTAGAGTATCTATCTAAAAGATCTCTAATTTTAAAAATTAATCATCCTAAAATTATTAAAAAATAAAAAAAATAATAGTAATCATCTTACAATTATGTTTTAATAATTCTTTGAAAGTTTGGATATGTTTTATGGAAAATGATCGAGTTATACTTATTTTTAAACTAGTTACACTAGATTAAAGTACCTATCCCAAAAAATATCTAATTCTAATAATTAATCATCTTAAAATTATCAAAAATATTAATTATCTTATAATCATGTTTTTGTAGTTCTTTAGAAGTTTGGATATGTTTCATAAAAACCGACTAAGTTACACTTATTTTTGAATTAACTTATACTTGATCATAGCATCTTTTTAAAAAAAAAAAATAATTTTGATACTTACTCATTTTAAAATCCTCAAAAATAAAAAATAGTACTAATTATCTTACAATTATATCATAGTAGTTTTTTTGAAAGTTTAGACATATTTCATGAAAATTAATTGAGTTACACTTGTTTTCTAAAAATTTCATAATTTTGATATTTAGTCGTACTAAAATCCTCAAAAAATAAAAAATAGTACTAATCATCTTACAATCATGTCCATTTAGTTCTGTGAAAGTTTAGATATATTTTATAGAAATTGATCGATTTGCACTCTGATCACAATCTTTCCAAAAATTTGTTAATTTTGATTTTTTTATCATCCCTAATTTTGATAATTAATCACCCTATAATTTTTTAAAAATAAAAAATAGTATTAATCATCTTACAACTATATTCAAGTAGTTCTTTGAAAGTTTGAATATATTTCATGACAATTAATTATGTTACACTCATGTTTTTGAGCTAAGTTACACTCGAACATACCATTTTTCTAAAAAATCATGAAACAAAATTCCACCAGCATATTAGTACTAAGATATATCATTCGATATTCACAGCAATAAAATACAAATAGCTACAATATGATTATGCATACACATCATGGTAAATATCATGACAACAAACATATAATTACTAAGATCATAACAATAATATATAATTAATGATACAAACATGTTTACATATTGGATATCTACGTATCATAAGAATAGACCAAAAATATATATCATTCGACTTTCACAATAATGATACACAATACGAATAGTATTTGCAACACTTGGTCACAATACAGTAAATATATATAACATTAACAACAACATTCGTAATAATAAACAAACAGTATTTACAACAACAATACACGCGATAGTTCACAATAATAGTAACCCAATAATAGTAACACAATAATAGTTCACAACAATACACACATCACAATATTCATAACATTGGAAAAATGCTGCAATAGGGTGAACAACTTAGATTTGAATTCTTTAACCCAAGTGCAGTCATTGGTTTGACTACAGGTCATCGTTGATGAGAGGTTGCAGTTGTCGAGAAGTCACAACTGAAGATAGAAAGCTTGCAAGATGTTGTTGTTGACTAAGGAAATCTATGGAGAATTTGATGTTGTCGAGGAAAGGTCACTACAGAGGGAGATGGAAGCAAAGGCAGATGATAAGAAAAAGACAGGGAGGAGGAGGCTAAGACAGGACGAGAAGGTAGCAGAGGGAAGGAGAAAGAGGAGAAGGAGAGATGGAGGATGAGAAGGATGTATAGGAAAAAAAAGAAATGGGATAAGATAGAGGAAGAGGAGGATAAGAGGCTGAGGGAGGAGGTGGAGACGAAGAAGTAGAAAGATGAGAGGAAGGAGGTGGAGGAAGAGGAATATGATTGTGGAGGAGGAGACGAGAAGACGTTTAAATGAGTCCGAACAAAACTATTAAGGATTGGAACCAATTGAATCATTTTTATCAATTTGGTTCGATTATAGTAAGATATTCCAAATTGAAACTGATTTGAATCAACTTTTCAAACCAATTCAAAACTGGTTAATCTAGTTTGGTTAACTGGTTTGTAATTTCAAGTTATATATATATATGTATATATATATGTATATATATGTATACATATATATATGTATACATATATATATGTATATATATATATGTATATATGTATATATATATGTATATGTATATATATATATACATATGTATATGTATATATATATATATATATGTATATGTATATATATATATGTATATATGTATATATATGTATATGTATATGTATGTATATATATGTATATATA